TTGACGGACCACCCAGGGTCCCGAGTCGCAAACACTCACCACAGGACATCCTTAGGGGTGACACCGTGGGCGGCGGCAACGGCTCGGGAAGCTTGGGTCAGGCTGGTGCGATCAAAGGGCGACAGGTGACGGACATTCCATGTATAGTGCGTGTCAGGCAGTCCAGTTAGTTTCCATTGGTTAGTTTAGTTAGGGCTAGGTTCCCCGTTGATCAGGGGAATACTAGTCAGTTCAGAATTTGCTTCCTCTAGATCAATACACGGCGCCAAGTGTTCCTGGGAGTTGCCACTCCCCCAACATTGTGTTTTGATTTCGTGGATACGCCACATTATGTCACCCAATGACATAGCGCTCCGCATGCATGTATGGTGCTGGGTTTGGGGAGATGCAGCTCTCGTTGATGAACGACACCAACGCAGTCTTTGCCGAGTCAACAGGATGGGCTTTTCTTCTTAGGCTGTATAAATGATGCAGGAAGTCCGTGCAGTCCTCCGTCGTGGCAGCTTTGGGGTTCAGGCCGTTCTTGTGGTGCGCACAGAACGCCTCGAACTGGCGCTGGTATGTTGAGTATGTCCTCCGGGTGGACCACCGTGGAAAGAGTCTTGAATGGTCTGCTTCATCGGTGTTCTCTGCGTCTTTTTGGAATGTGAGCAGGTCAGATTAAACGACAGGTAAGACGAAATTTGACCAATCATGGCATGTACATGTTAAATGTTAACGATATGTACAGTACCTGCACAGACAAATTTCTCGTCCAATGGTAGCACGACAAGATATAGGGACCAATAAAATTAGGTTGTATTGTCGGTTGTCCAATCACCGCACCAAAATTGTCAATTTAGTGTCACGTCTGAAGTATATGTTATCATTAAGAGATTCACAGTCAATAGGTTTCATCACTCAAATCGGTAATACATTATCCAAGTGATGTACTGGCCGGGAATTGTATTCAAACGTGAAAATTTCCGTTTTGAAAATTACGTCAATGAATTTGGACTAGAGTACAGTACAATGATGGAACCTGCATAATGTTTTGAAGTACAATGATGGAACCTGCATAATTTTTTAAAGCTCGCAACGACCTTGCGAATGCACGTTGTCACACCTTCGTACGTAGCATGAATGGGTGATGAGTTAGGCCAAGCTGGACGGGAATTGCATGAATCACCTACTTCTATTATTACCAAGTAAAAGTATTTCGTCATACAGGGAACGACGTTGAATAAGGGCGCGCGAAAATAATTCTAACGTAAACGGCCAATTCTTGCCCTCATTTCGACCTCGTAGCTTTTTGGCCTTATCTCATAGGCTAAGCAAAACTATAAAAATATGAAGTTATTCCGTTGTAGAGGAAAGAACGTTCTATCCAGTCGTTCAAATTGCTCGTAATTTGGAGTATATTTAACGTAGTTATGCCGAAGCAAACACAAAAGTTTTGAAATATGCCGGACCAGTTGTTTGCCCTCTTTAAACTTGACTTCAGTATGGGTTTGAAGGGTGACGAGAGGGTTGGACAATATTTTTAATATGAGCTCAAAACAATTGCCAAAGCTAATATACACCTAACCGAACTTACTTTGATAATATCTTACAGGTAATTATATTAAGGAAAAACCATTGACCAATAGCAAAAAAGTTCGCTTTGCCTATGGCCCAAGCTAATCCTTCACCCCTAACACATATAATCCCCTAGCATTTCACCAGCTTCAAACTATGACCACCTTGCGGCGGAGGTACCATCGGACTAAACATTGTCAATTTTCATCGTACCGGTCATTGCAATTAACGATGCTGCCGGTGTCTCTCATCTTCTTGATGTAGATTTTGAGCGTACGGTGTGGCACATTGTAGATGCGACTGAGATCTGTTTGTCGCTCTCCTTGCAACGCGCGCATCGGTTGCTTCGACAAGTTGTTCATGTCTGTAGCCCGTCATGAGTGAAATTGCAGATGTGTTTGAATTCCACTCGATAATTTGTGTCCATAGACTTTCCATAGTAGTCCAACACAAACTCGATGTAGTTGAGATGAGCGTCGGCACTGAGAGACTCCTCGTCATTCATTGGTGCAAACGACAGTAGTACTCGTTGGTAGCCAATCACATTGTCGGATGGGAACGTAGCGAAAACAGCAACGTAATGAGTTGACCCAGTCGTCCAGCCGTCAAACACAAGTGCAAATTTAGATGGTAGGGTGCGTCGGAGCTTCGTTTCCACAACTTGGCACACCAAATGCATGTACTTCCGCAGAGTGTTGGTGGTCATGGACCCTAAGGTAGTATAACGTTTGGCGTACACGTTTTCACAGAACGCGAACGGTAGCAGGGACATAGTGATCCAAGCCAACCATCCAAATACGTTGCGCACAGTGCTAGGGACCATAGACTCGAAGAGATGCGAAGGGTTCGCACCAGGGGTACTAGCAAGGGTAGCGCGAGAACTTGGCCAAGTCCGACGCAGTCACTCCCAGTTGACCAGCGACTTGAGCGAGGCGGGATTCGGACACAGCGCAAACAACCTGGAGGGGAACTTGTTCGCTCGAGTCTATTTGAATGACCTTTGGCGTGGCAGATCCGATGGGAGTGGGGACAACGCCTTGAACATATGACGACCAAAAACACTTTGTAGCCACCTTATCTTGGGCTTCAATGTACTCCACCACCGTTTGAAACGAGTTTCGCGCCGAATAGTACTTCAGCCAATCACGGCTGATTCAGTGCCGCGTAGGTATTTGATTGGGTATAATTAAAATACTTGACATTGAAAACTGAAAGAGGGCAATAATTGGCCGTTTACATTATAACTAACCAATCTCATTCTCATATTCAATTGTATGCAACATATTGGTTAAAATTCTTTCGCGGCTATTTCAAATAAATTTGACAGCTATCTACCTCCACAAGACGATTGCCTCCTCAAATGGCTACCGTGTGCTTTCATACCCGAAGGCCATCACGCACAGAACGATGCCGTCAGTCGCACAGAAGCTGTACGCTGTACATATTGCCACTGCGTCAAGTGTACACCATGCAGCGCAGTCCTTGGGATACGGCGAACGGACCGTGCGACGTTGGGTCATGGAGCAGGACAAACTACGCAACTTCAGTGGCTCCAAAGCCCGTCAGCGAAACACAGGAATCTGTGGAGCAGTGCCCATCATACCAGACGCCCACGACCTCGTTATTCACATGAAAGATATCCGTCGTCAAGAGATGGCTGTGACCTCTTCACACATGCTGCAGTTCCTGCGCTCGAACCATACCGACTACATGTCGACACGCAAGACTGAGTACAAGTCGTTGATATGGCTACTCCAGCACTTCGCCGACCGCCATGGCTTTTGCAAGCAGCGAATTTGCAGGCAGAAGACGACACAGGTAGACCTTGAAGGAACGCGCCTTGAATTCGGACGGTACTTCCACGACAAGTACCCTGGGATGGCAATGGATACTGTTTACAACGCTAGCGAAACAGTGATGTACTACGACATGTGTCCAAGTACGATTTGGGCTGTTTGAGGTGGCGGTAGTTATGTCGCCAACTCGGAAAATCACTCCTACCGTATGACTGCGCTGCTCACGATTCATGGAGATGGTGCCGATTCTTTTTGTCATCCGTGGCGAGGCTGGTGGCGGTATTGAGACCAATCAATTCGACGATTATCGCCCGGGCCACTTCTACGCCATGCAAAAGAAAGCGTGGATGAATGGATCGGTTTGGAAATACTACCTTCATGAGGTGCTCCATTGAAGAATTGAGGACCCATCAATTCTCCTGATGGATAACTTCGACAGCCATGTCAGCGAAAAAAGCGAGTGTTTTCTCCGCGACGAGCTTGGAAGTGAACTGTGTCCACTTTCACCAAACAGCATTTCTCATTGTCAGCTGTTGGACGTTTCTATTATGGGGCCGTTCAAACAGCATCTGCGTGATTTGTGGGTTGTCACTCAGAACACTGCAACAACTGCAAAAGAAAAGTGCATTCCCATGATTGAACGTGCAAATAAGGCGTGGGACATGATTTCTGAAGATGAAGTGCAAGCAAGCTACGTTAGAGAGTTGGAGAGAGAACATTTGGTGGGTTGAAGGTAAATTCAATTGTGAGTTAAAAACTAAACTGGTGGGCTGTGCCTACTCGCAAGGGTCATCTACTATTTTTGTAGGCATTGTAACTGCTAGCAGAAAGGTGCCGAGCCCAACTGCCAGCCTGGTGATGATTGTCCGGTAACCTCAAGATTATCCGGAATATGTCACCTAGCCGGGATCGATCCCTGTACCTTCCGCATACTAACAGTAAGCAGGAACTCTACCACTGAGCTATATTTCCATATACATTGTA